AGGCAGTAAGACAGCATATTCAAGGTGTTGAAAGAAATAGGCTGGTAGCCAAGAATTCTTTATCCAGCAAAACTACCCATCAAAAAAAAAAAAAAAAGAAGAAGAAGAAGCAATTAAGCCATTCCAAGATTTTAAAAAATGGAAAGAGTTCATCTCTAATAGACCTGCTGTCTTCATTATCTACTGTTGCTATATGAAAAGTACTACAAGTGGGAGGTTTCCACAAACAGAAATTTCTTTTCTCACAGTTCAGGAAGCTAGAGGTCCAACACCAGAGCTCCAGCTCTAGGGGAAGGCTTTCTCTTACTGTCAGTTCTAGAGGCAGGTCCTTGTCTCTTTAAACTTCTATTTCTAGTTCCCAGAAGATCTCCAAGTGCCTTGGCATCTGTCTTCCCTCATATTTGCTCCTTGCTTCCTTCTTTAATATCTTTTATATCTGAAAAGAGATCGACTCAAAACACATCCTACACTAATTCTCCCTGACTAAACAAAGACAACCCATTCCCAAATGCATATGCACAGGCATATTGTTGTTAATTACATGCCACTGGGTCAGTGCCAACTCATGTTTAACAGAACAAAACACTGCCTGGTCCTGCACCACTACCTTTACACGTGTTGTTGTAATTGAGCCCTTTGTTACAGCTACTGTTTCAGTCCTTCTCACTGAGGGTCTTCCCTTCTACTTTACCAAGCATGATATCCTTCCAGAGGGACTGGCTAACATGGCCTAAGTATGAGAGAAGAAGTCTTGCTATCCTCACTTCTAAGAAGCATTCCAGCTGAACGTCTCCAAGACAGATTTGTTTATTCTTTTGGAAATTCATGGTATATTCAATATTCTTCAACAACACCATGATTCAAAGGTATCAATTTTTCTTTGCTCTTCCTTATTCATTGTACAGCTTTCACAAGAATATGAGGTGATTGAAAATAACATGGCTAGGGTCAAGCACATCTTGGTCTTCTAAGTGACATCTTTACTCTTTAACACTTTAAAGAGGTCTTTTGCATATTTGTCCAATGCAACATGTCATTTGATTTCTGGACTGCTGCTTTCATAGACATTGATTGTAAATCCAAGTAAAATTAAATCCTTCACAACTTCAATATTTTCTGTTTACCATGATGTTGCTTATTGGTCCAGTTGTGAGGATTTGTTTTATGGCAGGGTATAATCCATACTGAAAGCTGTAGTCTGTGACCTTCATTAATAAGTACTTCAAGTCATCTCCAGTTTCAGCAAGCAAGGTTGCATCATCTACATATCTCATGTGGTTAATGAGTCTTCCTCTAATCCTGATGCCACATTCTTCTTCGTATAGTCCAGTTTCTCAGATTATTTTCTCAGCACACAGATTGAATGAGTATGGTGAAAGGATACAACTCTGATGCACTCCCTTCCTGATTTTCAACCATACAGTATCTCCTTGTTCTGTTTGAATAACAGCCTCCTGGTCTATGCACAAGTTCCTCATGAGCACAATTATGTGTTCTGGAATTCCCATTCTTCTCAACGTTATCCATAATTTGTTACGATCCACACAGTTGAATGCTTTTGCATAATCAATATAAGACAAGTAAACATCTTTCTAGTATTCTTTGCTTTCATCCAAGATCCATCTGACATCAGCAATGATATCTCTGGAAGTTCCCTGTCAATATACTGCTGCAACCACTTTTTAATTATCTTCAGCAAGATTTTACTTGCATGTGATAGTAATGATATTGTTCAATAATTTCCACATTCTGTTGGATCACCTTTCCTTGGAATAGGTACAAATATGGGTCTCTTCCATTCTCTTGGCCAGTGGAACAATCATTAACACTTGAGATGTGCAGATGACACAACCTTGGCTGCTGCAAGTGAAGAGAACTTGAAGCACTTATTGATGAAGATCAAAGACTACAACCTTCAGCAAGGATTACACCTCAATATGTTGTTGTGGTTGTTGTTAGGTGCCATCAGGTCGGTTTTGACTCACAGTGGCCCTATGTGCAATAGGGTACAGCACTGTGGAGTCCTGTGCCACCCTCACAGTTGTTGCCAGGCTTGAGCCCATCATCACAGCCACTGTGTCAATTCATCACATTGAGGGTCATCCCCTTTTTTACTGACCCTCTTCTTTATCAAGCCTGATATTCTTCTCTAGGGAATTGTCCCTTCTGACAACATTATTAAAGTATGAGAGACAAAGTCTTGCCATTCTCCCTTCTAAGGACATTCTGGATGTACTTCCTCCATGAAAACTTTGTTCATTTTTCTAGCAGTCTGTGGTGTATTCAATATTCTTTGACAATGCTTCAATTCAAAAGCTTCAATTCTTCTGCAGTCTTCCTTATTCATTGTCCATCTCTCATGCCTGAGATATTGATCTTTATGATTTCCATTTCATTTTTGATAACTTCTAATCTTCCTAGATTCATACTTCATAAGAAGACCAAAGAAAAATTATGCCTTTGAATTGTGATGTTGGTAAAGAATACTGAAAGTATCATGTACTGTCATGAGAATGAACAAATGTGACCTGGAAGAAGTACAGCCAGAATGCTCCTTAGAAGTGACAATAGCCAGATTGTCTCACCTACTTTGGTCACATTGTCAGAAGGGACCAATCCCTGGAGAAGGATATCATGCTTGATAAATTGGAGGGTTGGCATAAAAGAGGAAGCCCTCAGAGAGATGGATTGACACAGTGACTGCAATGATGGGCTCAAGCATTGCAAGGATTGTGAGGATGGCTCAGGACCAGGCGGTGTTTCAGTCTGTAGCATCACTATGAGTCAGAATCAACTTGGCACCTAACGACAGCATACTTTGTGTATTCCACATTCTGATTTTTAATGGATTTTGTAGCAGATTCTTCTCATTGTGAATCATGCCACTTCAGTAAATGAAGGTCCTGAAAGCTTTACTCCATCCACATTATTAAGGTCCACTCAACTTTGAGGCAGCAGCTCTTCAGTTGTATTCTGAGTGCCTTCCAACCTGAGGGGCTCTTCTTCCAACACTAATCTGACCGTGTCCCACTGCTATCCACAAGCTTCTCACTCACCAGTTTTTTTCAGAAGTACATCGCCATGTACTCCTTCCTATTTTTCTCAGTCTGGAAGCTCTCCTGAAACCTGTCCACCATGGGTGACACTGCTGACATTTGAAATACCAGTGGCAAAGTTTCCAGCATCACAACATGCAAGCCACAACAGCACAACAAATTGACATGAGTGGTCATTTTACTACTCTCAAAAAACCAAACTCACTGCCATGGGGTCGATTCAACCCCTAGTGACCCCTCCTTGGGTTTCCGAGGCAGTATCTCTACGGAAGTAGATTGCCAAGTCTTCCTTCTGAGGAGTGGCTGGTGGGTTTGAACTGCCAACTTTCTGGTTAGAAGTCAAGTTAGGCACCTTAAAACTCTTCCAGCCTTCAGCCATTACCCAATTCCAAAACCACTTTAACATTGTAGGTATACCAAATTCAGTCCTAGTTATCTAGTGCTGCTATAATAGAAATACCACAGGTGTGGCTTTAACAAAGAGGAATTTATTTTCTCACAGTTTAGGAGTCTAGAAGACCAAATTAAGGGTGATGGCTCTAGGGGAAATCTTTCTCTCTCTGCAGCTCTGGAGGAAGACCCTGGTTTCTTTGAGCTTCCGTTCCTAGGTGATCTTTATGGGACCTAGCATCTCTCTTCTCCTGTCTCTGCTTGTTCATCTGCTCATTTTATATCTTATAAGAGATTGACTGAAGGCATGCCCACACTAATCCTGAGTCAATAACAAAACAAAGACAATGTCTTCTCAAATGGGATTATAACCACAGACATAAAAGTTAGGATTTATGAAGCATATTTTGGGGGGACAAAATTCAATCCATAACAAATACCAACTTAATTTTAATAATATACAAAACTTTGTTCCAATACAATATAACCCACTACCCACTACCATTGAGTTGATTCCAACTCATACTGCCACTATAGGACAGAGTAGAACTATTTCAAGGAGCTCTGGTAGCATAGTGGCTAAAGCACTTGACTGCTAACCAGAAGGCTGGCGGTTCAAACCCACCAGCCACTCCTCGGAAGGAAGGTTGGACAATCCTACTTCCGTAGTGATACTGCCTCGGAAACCCAAGGAGGGGTCGCTATGAGTCGGGGCCGACTCGACGGCACATAACAGCAACAACAACAGAAGTATTTCATAGGGTTACCAAGGCTGTAAATCTGTATGGAAGCAGACTGCCCCATCTTTCTCCCATGAAGCTGCTGGTGACTTCAAACGGCCAAACTTTTGATCAGCAGTTGAGTGTTTGAACCACTGTGCCACCAGAGTTCCTTCCAGCATGGTACACTCCTTTTACAATCAGAGAGTAACTTTTTCACTCAGTCAGCTGTTCCTTTCCTGAAGCTGAATTTGCCCTTTGATTTGACTGCATGGAATGAAATTCAGGATGTGAACTCTCCTTCTCTGGCCCCAACAACCTGGCAAGTGGTTCACTGTGACCCTTAGAAGCAGCTCAGACAAACCTTCTGATGGCCCTTAAGGAACTTTGCCCCACCAGAGCCAGCACTTGCTGTGAGACTTCCAGCACACACTTGAACTATCTTACATAAATCCCACCTCAAACAACCTGTATGCACCTTGTCCATTCAGTGCAAAAGGGAGGCGAGTCCCCACCCCATGCTCTGGCCTATGAGTAGTGGTGTTTCCCTGTGCGTTGTTCTCACTGGCACCAGCAACCTGTGCCAGCATACATGAGTGTTGACAGAGTCCAGGCCTGTCCTTGCCAGGGGTGTCATCAGACTTCTAAGAGGCAACCACTTCAGGAAGTGCCCTTTGATATGATGGCCAACATCGGCTAATAATAAACTAATCATTTGGCCAAAGAAGACAGGCGGTGTTAGTTGGAGGGCCACCCTCCTTTTTGATGATACACTATAAAAGCCTTGCCTTTCCACAGGCTCTTCCTGCAAGTTGGCCTAGGAACCCAAGGAGCCATGGCTGCCCTGGGTATCACAATCGCCCTGCTGGTGTGGGTGGCCACCCTCCTGCTCATCTCTATCTTGAAGCAAATCTACAGCAGCTGGAAGCTTCCCCCTGGCCCTTTCCCACTTCCCATCATTGGGAATCTCCTCCAGCTGGATCTTAAGAATATTCCCAAATCTCTCACCAGGGTAAGAGAATTGCTGTTGATTTGGTAAGAATAATTCAAGAATTAGTGCTAATATGTGTGTTATTTGGCTCATTGTCAGTCGTATCATTGTTTGATACCAGCCTATTATAAATAAACTGAACTAATACGGTAGCATCCAAAGGTGATGGTCACAATATTTTGCTCACAGGACAGATGGGCACTCAGCATTCAGAATGAGTTGTGGCTATGGCACAGCCTTGGGGGCTCCCTCATGTGCAGGCATTAACTGCCTGTTGTTGGACTGATCATGAGACCAGTGTGGTGGGGGCTGTACTATTTTCCACCCGGTGTGGAGGGTTCTGAAGCTTTCACAACCACGTGCAAACTGGCTGAGTGTTGCCCACCGGCGTCTGATGATGCCAAAAGAACAGGTTGAAAAGTGAAGTGCTTGACTAACCCATGTGGAGCCAGACCGCACTTGCATCATAGGGTTGCTGTGAAGAAGGAATGAGATAATAAATGTAAGGACGTGATGAGTTGACAAATCTATTGTACAAATTAATAAGGGAAGGTACTGGGTGCCTTGCAGGCCTTGATAATCATCTGCTCCACAGGACATGAGGATAGTACATTGCTCCTAGAGGCTAGGCTAGTGGCGGAGAGTGATGGCTCCAGGTCCTACTGGGACACCCAGAGTTCTGGGTCTTGGTGGGGGTGAAGGGGCTGGATAAGGGAGGGTGTCAAGGATTTAAGGTCCATGGAGTTGCTTGTGTCCAGCCCAGGCAGGAGGGAAGCACAGCCAGGTGAGGTCTGGAGCTGTGCACAGGCAAACAGGGCTCCTGGGGTTGCCATGAGTGGGAGATGCTCTAGACAGTGGGTAGCAGTTCTAGAAGATTCCCTAGAACCCTGTCTGTCTGGATTGCTTATCAAAGTCGCAGTTGTGTCACAATAACACCAGAGGCCAATAACAGCAATACTATGCAAGAAGCAAACATCTGCAAACTTAAATTTCACAAACATCTACTTTCTATTTTGGAGGGACAGTACTTTTTCACGCATACAATTTTCATAATCAGTGTCTTAAAATATATTATATAACAGAGAAAATGGACACATGTTTTTAAAACTTCTTCTTCCTAGGGGTGAGGAGGAGTCCTGGTGGGGCTTGAGCAGAGTCAGGACGTAGTTCCTGGGACAGCTTCCTAGGAACCAGTGGCGCGGGGATCTGAGGGGCCATAGGGCCCACGCCGAGCCCTAAACGGGGCGACCAGACCTTTCTGCTCACTCTGCTCCCTACAAACCCCAGCTCCTTGTGGGAGGAGTGTTCCCCAGGCTGGGAGGGACAAAGACTGGGCCTTCCCCCAACCCCCCAAGGCTGTCTGACTCAGCAGCAGTGACTTGGGAAGGGTGTATTTTAACGGACAAATCTTCACGGCTCATCCTGCACCCTGTGTCCCCAGCTTGCTGAGCAGTACGGACCGGTGTTCACGGTGTACCTGGGCAGCAGGCGCGTCGTGGTCATGCACGGCTACAAGGCGGTCAGAGAGGTTCTGCTCCAGCACAAGAACGAGTTTTCTGGAAGGGGAGATATCCCAGTGTTCCACGCTCACAAGGACCGCGGTGAGTCTCCATCCTCTGGCCACATGGCGCAACGTGAGGCACTGTGCCCAGCAGCATGTGCTCAGGAACCCATACATACTGACAATAATGGGGACAGCAGGGGTGATCTCAAAGAGATCATGGACAGATTTCCCCAGACCAGAGGCTTATCTAAGGGGTGGCAGGTACCGCACACGCCGGGGCGCCCCTGGAGAGGGGCGACACTGAGCAGTTTCTATTGGCTGTCTCAGTGTGCATCACCAGCTATGAGACATACAGGTAATTTGAAACAAATTGCCATGGGCGCTGTCTTCCTTCCACAGCATTTCTTTGCCTCAGACACCACCCAGTGATGCAACATTCGTTCATTGCCTAGTAAGCAATTTGTAAAAGCGTCTATGTGAGACGCATAAGAGCTCTGCCGGCGTAGTGCCTAAGGCACTTGAGTGCTAACCAGAAGGCTGGCGGTTCAAACCCACCAGCCACTCCTTGGAAGGCAGGTTGGGCAATCTACTTCCGTAGTGATACCACTTCTGAAACCCAAGGAGCGGTCGGACGGGACTCTATGGCAGTGGGGTTTTATGTGAGACACATATACTACTCTCCCAAAAGGAAAAGGGTGCATTTCGTGTCTCTGTCGCCCACCTCTGACCAGCAAGATCCGCAGAGAAACACCAGAGGCAGGGCTTCCATGCCTGCGATGCCCCGCACTCGGCCCGCCTTCCACTCGGAGCTCCCTCCACTCAAGCCCAGCTGCCTCCTACCGGCGCAGTGCATCCCCAGTGCAGGCGGGAAAGGCTGCACTCACGGGCGAGGCTGCAGCGTCGGTGGGCCTTTACTCCGCTGCAGCTCGTTGTCTCAGGAGAAAGCGCCCCTGAAGTCTCCGTAGGGATGTTCTTTCTGAGTCCAGGAAGGGGGTTGCGGGGTGCTGTGCAGCTGTGCGCTGCTCTCCTCCGTGCCTGGTGTCCCCAAGTCCATGGCCTGAGGTCACCTTATCCAGAACACACACTGTCACCCCTGCAGGGAAGCAGTGTGGACTTGGGTTCTAAGTGGCCCTTAGCTGAGCTTTTACTGACCGGATTTCAGCTTCCAGTCTCTCCCCACTTCCTGAGGCTTACCGGCCCGATGAGGGGCTCCCCTCCTTCACTCTGGGCTGAGAAAAATCGCTGTGCCCCAGCTGTTCCACTGAGGCCTCCACACCCCCTCTGCCGCCCCTCCTTGTGGTTCTCCCACCGCCCTTCCTGTTCCTCTGGCCCCCTTCACTAGTTGATCCTCAAGCAGACCAGAAATAAATGCAAGGTCGGGTCTACCCTATTTTACTGGAAAACTTTACTTCTTTCAGAGTCCATTGGGTGGCAAAGCCCTGGAAAACCTTCATCCCTTTGTGTAGCTTTTCCAGTTGATCATCCCCTCCTTGTTTTCTGCCTACATTTCTGCAGACAGTGTCTACATCAATGGCATGGACTTTTCCCCCTTGGATATCATTTGTTTTACTTCTTTGGGGGTTGCCAAGAGCAAAATTCACCATCTTAGTTCTTTATCATTAAACAAGAGGAGCTGCAGTGCAGAAAGATCCCATGAGAGCGGGAGACTGGGTCCAGGGAACCTTATCTGCCACCTGTGGATCTGAATCTGCTGCCCCTGAAGGCAGCCGGCCGGGTTCAGAACTCAGGTCTCCACAGGCGATCTCAGAGGCTCCTGTCTCCTGCCCCCAGTCCCAGGTGCCTAGAGCTGACACTGAGCACAACCCAGGCCCCAGACCTCTGTGAGTCTACCAAAGGGTGCATCTTTAGAAGATGACGTCATGGACGTGCATGATCAGTATAATGCTCAGCACAGGCCATGTGTTATGGACTAGGTCTACACCGTTTCAGTAAATCCGTGTGAAGCTCAGAGAGAAAATAGCCTTGCCTAGCCAGGAGCCTTGGCTTCCTGCCTTGTCTAGGTTCTCTTTCTCTGTTCTTCCCCCTGCTTTTGCAATAACACTTGTATATTCTCTGCTCCCTCCTCCATCCAACCTTTGCATCTGTCTTCTCTTTACCATACCTCTCTTTCAGGAGCTGTCCAGATTTGGTCTCCTGCTCCTCAGCCTTCCTGGCTTCTTTAGTAGATAAGTCCATTCTTTCCAAATGCCTTCTCCCTAGACTCCACAGCCACATGCTTTCATGGGTCCTACTTCTTATATCCCGTGTTAGCGCATCCTCCCCCCAGAACTTTGGGCGTTGGAGGTCCAGGCTCAGTGCAGGCCTCTGCCCTCATGATACCCTTATGTGCATTTGTCTGGTTGATTCTCCCTCTGCTTGTACAAATTCCAAGAGCTTTTCACTCCAGTTGCAATTTCTCCCTGAATTGAGTTTGAGGTGACTCCTTGCTGTCCTTTCTTCCTTAGGAGTCATTTTCAATAATGGGCCCACCTGGAAAGACATCCGGCGCTTTTCCCTGTCCACCCTGCGGGACTACGGGATGGGGAAGCAGGGCAACGAGCAGCGGATCCAGCGGGAGGCCCACTTTCTGCTGGAGGAACTCGGGAAGACTCAGGGTGTGTGCACCACTGGGACCGGAGGTCACCGTGGGGACAGGGGAGAGAGGGACCCAACCCCACTGTGCTTAGTACAGTATGTCCACACACAGGCAAGGGGCTCGGCCCTGCCTGGGACAGAGAGTCCATCCTCAGGGAGGGGGTGGAATGCAGGACGGCGTCTGAGCCATCAGAAGCAATGAACAGCTCTGAAGGCCATGTGTGGAGAGGGTCCTGTTAACCACAGAGATTTTATTTTACAATTTGAATTTCCTGCCCTGCATTGCAGGTAGAGAAGCCATGGCTATCAAGGGCAGAACTTCTGTATTCTAAATAACTATGAGAGGCAGAGACAACCCAAATAGATTTAAGAATCCCATATCTATGATTTTCAGTGTCTTCTTACCAACAGACAATGAAAACAGGCAATGATCAGTATGTGATAGGGGACTAGGTCAAAGGTCTGGAGACAATGAGGCCTCCTGTGGCTATCACCCAAGTGGCTCATAGACTCGAGTCCCCTGTACACTGCTCTTTCAACCCTGTCTTCCAGGCCAGCCCTTCGACCCCACCTTCCTCATAGGTGCTGCGCCCTGCAATGTCATCTGTGATATCCTCTTCCGGAAGCACTTCAGCTACAATGACAAGACATGCCAGAGGCTGATGTACATGTTCAATGAGAACTTCTACCTGCTGAGTACCCCCTGGATCCAGGTGCAACCCATCCTTTCAGTTCATCTTGCCTGAGTGCTGCTGGGTGGTTTAGAGAGGAAATTGGAAAATGAGGAAACTAGGGTTGTGGTGGAGGGGGAGGCCTCCAATAGCAGAGGGCAGGGCCACTTCAGGACCTATAACCAGACAACCTCAGTGTTCCTTCTGGAAGCAGCCCTCTGCTAACCTTGAAGATCAGTCATCATTTGCTAGACTCATCTTCAGAAGAGCAGGAACCAGCTGTGATGTTCATGTGTCCACCACAGAATGTCACCCTTGACAGCAATTCCCAAATGATACTGTCCCCCTGAAATATATATTCTAAATGCGATGGTCACAATGATCATAAATTCAAGTAACAGCTCAGTTAGTACACAAAATTACGTTGTATCCAGAAAAAAAAAAAAAAATCTGGTAAGCTAACTCTCCCTCTCTCCCTCCCTCCCTCTCTCTCCCTCTCCCTCTCCCTCCCCCCCCCCAGCTTTATAATAATTTCTCACACTATCTACGCTACCTGCCTGGGAGCCACAGGAGGATCATGAAGAATGTGTCTGAAATTAAGCAGTTCGCGTTAGAGCAGGCGAAGGAACACCATATGTCGCTGGACCCCAACTGCCCCCGGGATTTCACTGACTGCCTGCTCACTGAGATGGAAAAGGTGCCCCCTACTCCAGACTGGGAAAGTCTGGTAGCATAGAGCCTAAGGAATTTGATTGCTAACCAGAAGGCTGGTGGTTGAAACCCACCAGCCACTCCTCGGAAGGAAGATTGGGCAATCTACTTCCATAGTGATACCGCCTCGGAAACCCAAGAAGGGGTCGCTGTGAGTCGGATCTGACTCGCCGGCAGTGAGCTTGGTTTGGTTTTGGACTCCAGACTGTGGGGGCCCGGACGAGGCCAAGGTCTGAGGAACAGGCATTTTTCCACTCAAGTCACACCTACACATCTGGTTTGAATAGCCACCATGGTGATGTTGGAAAGCTCCTGGTCTCACCCCAGCACATTCAGCACCAGTGGGGTGCAGCTTGCTGCCCCACACCAGCCAGATGCAATGCTTGTGCAGCCTCAAACGCCACACATCCTCACACAGCCAGGAAGGGCAGGCGTGTGCATTCCTCTCAGTAGCCCTCCCCAGGCTGTGGTCTGGATCATTTCTGGATCAATGACTTTGACCATCTGTACCTTGCCCCGAGGCCACCTAGCCTTCCTTATTGGCACACAGACCCCACATAGTGTGAGATTTCAAGGGGTCCTATGCCTGTACCACATCATATAACTGGTAGTCCTCAAGTCTCCCCTTGGCCAGAAAGTGTGAATTCCACACCCTGATTTTCCCAGATAACTGCCCTGCTGTCCCCCTCCATCACCAGGGTGGCCAGCTTTCTGCATGACTTCTGGGGCCCATAGCATAGCCCTGACAGGCCAGATGAAATTCCTTTTCATATGTGAAAGTGCTAGCCTCAGGGGCACAGGGCAGCCTCAAATCAGCTGCCACAGAGCCCCTGCCAGCCAAGGTTCCACAACACAGCCACCAGTATAAAGGCAACCAGCCCCTGAGTTGCTAGAGGTCCTGGCACCTGGATCATCTCTGACTTCGGGGAGGGAGGGCCTGCAGCAGCTGTAGGTACAGGCCAGAGGGTCTTACTACAGAGCTGGTGGAAGAGCACATGGAGACTTGACCTGGATCTTAGTCCTGCCGGTGTAGTTTCCTGGGAGCCTTAGTTTTCCCAACCCTGAGACAGATGATAATTTTTCTCCCAGCTTGAATCTTGGTTTACCTGCATGATTTCACAAAGCAATGGGTGTCAGCTGGCCCGCAGCAACTATTTGGTAAAGACAATTTCTTTCTCTGTAGAGCTAGGAGGGTCTGCACATTTACATTTGCAGAAAGGGAGGGAGTTGCCTTTTTTGCAAGCAATTGGAGACATCCTCTCATTGAGTCCCTATCTGTCTCTGATAAATCAGGAAAAGCAAAGTGCGGAGCCCATGTACACATTGGATGATGTTGCCGTGACCTTGGCTGATCTATTCTTTGCGGGCACAGAGACCACCAGTACCACCTTGAGATATGGGCTCCTGATCCTCATGAAGTACCCAGAGATTGAAGGTGAGCTGGTATCAGGCCAGGACTGTTCCATGGGTCACTGGGTAAAATACTGTGAGGGGAAACATTCTGTGGACATGTCTGCATTCTTGCCAAAACTCTCATTGCAGCAAAGAAAAGCCCATGCCCTTCCTCACCAGGAGTCCAACAACATAGCTCAGAGCAAGAAATGTTAAGTTCCACCCTATAATATTACCTACTTAGGGCAGTGAGAACATATCCCCATTGATTCTGAGTAAGACTGATGTCAGGGCAGAGGAGAGAGGAGAACTGGAGGTAGAGGGCAGCTAGAACCAGTCAGACAGCAGGGATCTGGATACCCACAGAGGGAGGCCTTTTAGCATCTGTGGCATAAGAACTTTTGTCTGCTCTGTAATAAGGGAACCATAGATTTAAAAATTTAAAAAAAAAAATTGATTGTGTCTGAGGTGAAAGCTTACATCACAAAAAAGTTTCCCATTCAACAGTTTATACACATTTTTTTCCATGATCTCTGTTGCTATCCCTACAATGTGCCAGCACTCTCCCCATTTCCACACTGCCTTCCTCATTTCCATCTCTCGAGTTTCCCTGCCCCTTCCTGCTTTTTCATTTTTGTTTTTGGGCAAATGTCACTCATTTAGTGTCCTATAGTTCATTGCTCTAAGGTGCACATTCTTCACGGGTGTTATTGTTTATTTAATAGGCAAATCTGTTAAAGGTAACTTCTGAGAATGGCTTCAGTTCTAGGTTAAAGGGGTGTCTTAGAGTGATAGTCTCAGGGATTCCTCCAATATCTATCAGTCCAGTAAGTCTTGTCCTTTTTTTTTTTTTTTATGAATTTGAGTTTTGTTCTACATTTTTCTCCCATTCTAACCAGGATCTTCTCTTGTATCCTTGGTCACTGCAGTCCGTAGTGGTGTCTGTGCACCATCTAGTTCTTCTGGTGTCAGGGTAGAGGAGGCTGTGGTACATGTGGGTCATTAGTCCTGTGGACTAATTTCTTCTTTGAATCTTTGGTTTCCTTCACTCTCCTTTGCTCCACATGAGAAGAGACCAATAGTTTTATCTTACCTCTCAAGCTTTTAAGACCCCAGACACTACTTACCAAACTGGAATTTAGAATTTTATCTTTACGGACTGTGTTATCCCAACTGACCCAGATGTCCTCTGAGACTATTGTCCTTAGCCTTCAAGCCCAGTAACTCAGTCCTACAAGGTGTCTAAAATTCTTCCACAGCTGTGTCCCCTGTGTGCTTATGTAAAAAAAAACCTCACTGCCATCGAGTCAGTTCTGACCCATAGCGACCCCTCCTTGGGTTTCTGAGGCAGTATCTCTGCAGAAGTAGATTGTCCAGTCTTCCTTCTGAGGAATGGCTGGTGGGTTTGAACTGCCAGCCTTCTGGTTAGCAGTCAAATGCCTTAGGTAGTACGCCACCAGAGCTGATATATATATATATATATATATATATATACACACAAATATGTGTATACAAATGCCCACAACTATAACTATACATGAACATGCCCTCCTACCAATAGAGCAAACACATCTACTTATGTAACCACTCACGAATTTTTGGTTGTTATTACTCTTGTTGCAGAATTGTATATGTTATAACATTTACCATCCAAACAAACAAAACTCACTGCCATCGAGTCAACTCCAACTCATAGTGGCCCTTTCTTGGGTTTCTGAGGTGGTATCTCTACAAAAGTAGATTCCCAAGTCTTCCTCTGAGGAGTGGCTGGTGGGTCTGAACCGTCAGTCTCTGGTTAGCAGCCAAATGCCTTAGGCACTATGCCACCAGAGCTCCCAGCATTTACCATACCAAAATCAAACCAGACTCACTGCCATGGAGTGGGATCCAACTCATAGTGACCTTTCCTTGCATTTCTGAGGCAGTATCACTACAGAAGTAGATTGCCAAAGCTTCCTTTTGAGAGCATTTACCATGTTGTTGTTATTATGCACCATCGAGTCAGACCCAACTCATAGCGACTCCTCCTTGAGTTTCCGAGGTGGTATCACTACAGAAGTAGGTTGCCCAGTCTTCCTTCCGAGGAGTGGCTGGTGAGTTTGAACTGCTAGCCTTCTGGTTAGCAGTCAAGTGCTTTAGGCACTATGCTGCCAGAGCTCCTAGTATTTACCATGTTATGTTGTTGTTATGTGCCATAGAGTCAGACCCGACTCATAGCAACCCCTCCTTGGGTTTTCGAGGCAGTATCACTACGGAAGTAGATTGCCCCATCTTCCTTCCGAAGAGTGGCTGGTGGGTTTGAAGCTCCAGCCTTCTGATTAGCAGTCAAGTGCCTTAGGCACTACGCTATCAAAACTCCCAGTATTTACCATAGTTGTCCTTTATTCTTGAGTAACTCTCAGTGTCTTCATCTACCTTAGTTACATTGGTCTGACTTCTCTTGTATCATGAAGTGACTTCCCTTCACCAGAATTAACATGTGCAGTAAAAGATCTCTGGTGATGCGGTGGTTAAGGCATTCATCTGCTAGCCAAAATGGTGGTTCAAACTCACCATCTGCTTTGCAGGAGAAATATGATTCTGTCTGCTTCCATGAAGAAACCCTATGAGACAGTTCAATTCTGTCCTATAGGGTCACAATGAGTTAAAATTAACTCAGTGGCAGTGGGTTTGGTTGTTTGGTTTTACTGTTTAGTGTATGATTACTCCTCCCTCCCTTTCCCATCCCTAGTAACCATCAAAGAATGTTGCTTTCTGTGTGTAAACCTACTCTTGACTTTTTATAAAAGTAGTATCATACAATATTTGTCCTTTTGTGAATGATTTATTTCACTCAGCATAATGTCCTCCATATTCATCCATGTTATAAGCTGTTTCACAGACTCATCATTGTGCTTTATTGCTGCATAGTATTGATTGTATTTATGTACCACATTTTCTTTACCCATTTATCTGTTGATGAATGCTTAGATTGTTTCCATTTTTATGCTATTGTGAATAATGCTGAATGAGCATGGGTGTGCATATGTCTATTCGTGCCACTGATCTTATTTCTCTAGGAAATATACCTGGGAGTAGGATTGCTGTATTATAAAGAATTTCTATTTATAGCTTTTTGAGGGAACACTGTACCATTTTCCATAGTGGTTGTATCATTCTACAGTCCCACCAAAAGTGTATAAGAGTTCCAGTCTCTCCACAACCTTGCCAGCATTTGTTATGCTCTGTTTTTTGAGCAGTACCATTGTTGCAGGGCTGAGATTATATCTCATTATAGTTTTGGTTTGCATCTCTCTAATGGTTAATGACTGTGATGAACATCCCTTCACCTATTTGTTTAACTGCTTGAGTGTCTTCTTTGGTGAAGTGTCTGTGCACGTCCTTTGCCATTTTTCTGGTTAGACTGTTTGTCTTTTTGGTGTTGAGTTGTTGACGTTTTCTATGTATCTTAGAGATTAGACCCTTGTCAGGTATGTCATTACCAAAATTTTTTCCCCAGTCTGTAGGTTCTTTTTTTTTTTTTTTTTTCTTTAACTCTTTTGATAAAGTCTTTTGATGAGCATAAGTATTTAATTTTTAGGAGGTCCCAGTTATCTAGTTTATCTTCTGTTGTTGTGCTTTTTTAGTTCTATTTGATAATGTATTTTTGGCATAAAATAGGATCCCTAGTTTTGTCCCTACATTATTTTTCAGGAACTTTATAGTTTTAGGTTTAACATTTAGGCTTTTGACCATTTTGAGTTAAGTTATTTATGGAGTGAAGTATAGGTCCTGTTTCATTTTTTGCCAATGGATATCCAGTTTTGCCAGTGCCAATTGTTAAAGAGACTATATTTTCCCCACTGAACACATTTGGACCCTTTATTGAAGATTAGCTGTCCAGAGCTGGATGGATTTACTTCTGGGTTCTCAATTCTCTTCAGTTGTTTTATGTGTCTGTCTTTGTACAGTCAGAACCAGGCTGTTTTGACTACCATGACTGTACAGTAAGTTCTGAGGTCAGGAAGTAGGAGACTACCAACTCCCAGGCTGGTGTGCACTACTCCCATGGTATTCACTTCACCAAAGAAGACACTCAAGCAGTTAAACAAACAGGTGAAGGGATGTTCATCACAGTCATTAACCATTAGAGAGATGCAAACCAAAACTATAGTGAGATATAATCTCAGCCGTGCAACAGTGGCACTGCTCAAAAAACAGAGCATAACAAATTCTGGCAAGGTTGTGCACTACTCCCAACTACATGAATTATTTCATATAGTTAAAACGTATTATGTATCCACAAATAGTTTATATTATTCCATGTGTTTTAAATTTTACTTGGATACTATACTATACATATCTTTTTGTACTATTTTCATGCAACATATTATAAAGGCCCATAGGAAATCTCAAGCCCAGAGAGGTTAAGCAATTTGTCAAAGGTTGCTTTAATGTATCAGGAAGAGAGAGACTTTCAGACTTCTTCATCGTAGAAGTTCCTCAAAAAGTAGACAAAACGTATTTGATTCCATTCTGTCATATTCCTTCATACTTCTTAGAAGCATGAAGTAAACCATCCTGAGGTAATAATAAATGAAAGGCATTCCTTCCAAATAGAAATTGTCAAGACCCTCTGTCACTCTCTACTCCTAAAATAAAGAGAAGAATTGGATTAGCCACAATAAGCTAAGATAATGGATGTCAGACACTCTGTAGACAATAAATAATTTCACAGATGTTAGCTCTTACTGATCTTTATAGAGAGGTTGTCCAATGATTCAAAGTACCTGGGGCACCATGAAACACTGATTGGGTGTTCCATTAACTTCTGTTGGGTAGATGACTAAATGGATGAATGATTGGGTAGATGGATGTGTGGGTGGATGGATAAGTGAAATATTGGACAGATGGCTAGTTCAGTAAATGACTTGATGGATTAATTGGTGGGTAGGAAGATGTATGAGTGAATGAGTGGATGGGTGGCGAGCCAGCCTGGATAAATCCATTAAATATATTCCATTAATATCTCGGTAGAGAAACTTCATGAAGAAATTGACAAGGTGATTGGGCCAAGCAGAATTCCTGCCGTCAAGGACAGGTTAGAGATGCCCTACATGGATGCTGTGGTGCATGAGATTCAGCGTTTCATCAATCTTGTGCCCTCCAATCTGCCTCATGAAGCAACTCGGGACACGATGTTCAGAGGATACGTCATCCCCAAGGTCAGATGTGCAGCCTACGGTCCACACCAACAGCACCATTCTATTTTCCCTCAGTTAGGCTGCCAGGGGACAGAATGCTGCTTCCTTAGCCATCCTCTTCTTCCCCTCCATGGAACTGGCAACCACAGAAATGGAATAATCTGGAACAGTGACTTTCAGATACTATTTGGGATTTGAAAAATATTCTGCACCAGAGAGAAAAACAACCCTGGATTTAATCCTTTGAGAAAATTAATGCTTCCCTTCCCATTTGGACCTAACCCCTGCTCTACACAGCAGCTTTGTCTTTCTGTCTAGCCCATAGCTAAACAATTTTCCCAAATAGAAATATACTGTCTTGTGCAGTGGTGTATTGGTTAAGGCAATTGGCTGCCAAACAAAAGGTTGGTGGTTCGAACCCACAAACCACTCTGTGGAAGAAAGATGAGGCAGTCATCTGCTTCCATAAAAATTTACAGCCTTAGAAAACCAATGGGGGTCGCTATGAGTTGGAATTGACTCAGTGGTAATGCATGTCGGTTTTTGGAGTGAATAACCAAGAATTCTTGTATAAGCAAGAACCAAAACAACCTTCATGAGGGGCTTCCAGAGCAAAGTCCACATGTGTCAACTTGGCTAAGATGGTCTTTATTCTTCTAGGGCACTGTTGTAATTCCAACTCTGGACTCACTCTTGTATGATGAACAAGAATTTCCTGACCCAGAGAAGTTTAAACCAGAGCACTTTCTGAACAAGGATGGAAAGTTCAAGTACAGCGACTACTTCAAAGCATTCTCTGCAGGTAAGAAGAGTTCAGATGTTTCATCTCCTAAAGGAATTTTCTCCCACCCTCATTTCTACTTCATGTGTATTCTGTCATCACCCTAGAGGAGCATCAACCTCTCAGTTCCATCATGCCCTCTTTTTTTTGTTTGAAATATGACCCCAGTGTGTTGCTACCTATTCAGAGAGGCTAAATGACACCTTTTCACCCACAAATTCTGGACATGAGATGTTGTAGATGAGTTATTTTTTCCATTTAGTGATTACTTTACTTATTTCAGTGCTAAAATTCCATTTAGTCTTTAACAGACCTCACTGAAAATCTTTCAAAACTACGTTACCTAATTCTCCATAATTTAAAATAAGAATTAAGCACAATCTAACTTTTGGTTACCTGCACTCATCATGGGAAGTGTCAAAGTCTTCTCTGGGATGAGACTCAGTGGCTGCTTCCTTGGCCTCCTTTCCCGGACCCTACCTTAGGTATTGGTGCATGGGAAAATCATGTAATCAACTGGGTAGCTTTGATACCCAATGTTAGAATGTTAGCCTCTAACCCAAGGGTGGCCCATTCTTTCCTGGAGAACATCATGGGTGAGCATCGGATGACACTTTCATTGCTGGGCAGATACCATTTGGCAACTTAGCATGGGTCTTTCCCATTATGATCAGGATGGTTGCAGATAGATGAGGGCTATCCCTGAATAAATCAAAGTTACTGGTTTCCTTATTCAGAATGTATGTAAATACATCTGCTTCCTTTTAATGGGTGGGAAGGGATAGTTCTGCTTTAGTCCTCCCTCCTGCTCCCTCCATTTTCTGGCTTTTGGCAGATTTAACTCTCTGTGGGACACCCTCAATGTCTCATCAGCATTCTTGTCACTTCCAGGAAAACGAGTGTGCGTCGGAGAAGGCCTGGCTCGCATGGAACTGTTCCTCTTCTTATCTGCCATTTTGCAGCATTTTAATTTGAAATCTCTTGTTGACCCAAAGGACATTGATCTCAACCCCATTACAATTGGGTTTGGTTCCATCCCACCACATTACAAACTCTGTGTCACCCCTCGCTCATGATGTACAGAAGACAAGCACTGAATAACCAAGGTCTGCACCCCAGTGTCTGCAGAAGATTTCCTGCTCCCCACACCCTTAATGCCATATGGGAAGCATCGCTGCTCACACTGTCTTCATGAGGACAGTTGGGGATCTATGTGTGGACTAAATGAGATCAGAAGTACTGCTTTACAGAGTCCCAGTCTTGAGACAGAATTTGAAAGCAAAGTTCAAAAAATATTTTTTTAAGTAATAATTAAATTAAACTATGAATTAGTTTGATCTGTATTGGACAATCTGGAAACAATGGTAATTAAGAATCACGTTAAGTTAAACTAACCTGTTCTGGAAAACTGTAACTGCCTAGTCACCAGAGTAATATCTACCATAAAGAATTTACAAAAAAGACACAGATGATGGTGTATAACATACCTTTTGCAGGATTTGTTAGCTCTGTCAGATACACCCCCCACCAAACTGCCTTAGGATATAAAGTTGCTGGTCAGGGTTCACTGCAAGTGTCATTCTGGGCTGTATCTTGAGACTAAAATAGATCTGAAAAGCCAAAATGGTCTATTTTTATTACCTTTTAATATTAAAATATGACTCTGTACCTGGAAAGAGTAAATCCTAAGAATAAAAATACCCTGGTATGGAATGAGATAGATGATAAAAGTACCAGATCTGCTCAGTGAAATGAACAATAACACTGTGAGATGAGAAGGGGTTTGGTTGAGCTCTGCTGCCCCCACCCACTGTGCTACATGCCAACCTTCACACTTTGGTTTCCTCGTCTGTGAGTGGAGATAGCCACAGCTTGCTCTCCCGCATGGAGGAGAGGGATAAGGGGACCAGGCAGCACAGCCTTCAGAACACCAGCCAGCACACTGTCCACTCTGTGAACATAACCCTTTAATAAAATGAGCAATGTTTTACCTGGGCTCTCAACATGAATGCAGCAGGCTGAGAAGAAAATCAATGTCTACATGAGTGCCACCCTTTGTAAGTTGGTGGAGGTGTCTTGGAGGGATGGGTAGGAGGGAGTGGTGAGATATAGGTATGTGAAAACAGTGCATTAAAGTGTATACCCCGACTCTGAGAGCAATACTAGTGGGTGACATAGTGGATAAGGCACTTGGCTGCTAACCAGAAAGTCAGTGATTCAAACCTGATCCGTGGAAGGAAGATGGGGTGATCCACTTCCGTAAAAATTACACCCTCAGAAACCCAATAGGGGTCACTATGAGTCAGAATCAACTCAATGGCAGTGAGTTTTTTTTTTTTTTTTTTTTGTATCCTGCTTAGACCAAATGGCAGATGTCTCTCCAGCAAGAATCACTGGCCAGTGAGGCATTCCAAAGGTAAAGTATCACATGCTGTATGAGACTCCTGCTGCTTCTTTAACAAATGACCACAAACTCTATGGTTTAAAGCAGGAAATCTTTATTATTTTACAGTTCTGGATGTTACCAGGACTGGTTCCTTTTGGAAGCTCCAAGAGAAAAACTGTTTTCTTGCCTTTTCCTAGAACTATCTGCATTTCTTGGCTAATGGCTCTTCTTCCATCTTCAAAATCGGAAGCCTGTCTCCCTTTTTCATGTTCAAGGACCCTGATCGTATCAGGCACACTTGGATAATACAGGATAATCTCCCTTTCTGAAAATCCTTGACTTAATTACGCCTGTAAAGTAAAATGTATACAGGTTCTAGGGATTGGACGTGGGCATATTGGGGATGCCAGTGTCCCGCCAATCACACTTTGTTTCACCCACCATAGGACACTACCAAAAACTTGCATAATTAACCAATAGTTAAATTGATAGACTGAGGAGGACAAGCTGACCATACACTGAAAATTCCTATCATTCTCACCATCACACTTGCATAATACTGCTTACAGCAGAAAAATATAAGGAAAAGTCTTTATTTGCTTTTGGGCAGAGGGATTTCAATTTGAAAGAATATCCTAGAAAAATTCCAAAGTACTCAATTTTTGTTAGGTGCTATTGAGTCAGTTCCAACCTGTAAGAAGCCCATGTGTAAGAGAATAAGACGTTGCCTGATCCTTTGTCTTCAGAATAGTAGGTGTGTTTGAGCCCATTATTGCAGCCACTGTGTCAATCCATCTCACTGACATTCTATCATTGAATTACTAAGATTACAGCCAGGAAAAACCTCCAGGGAAGTTTCTACTCTGTGACGTATGGCTCTGCCATGAGTTGGAGTTGACTCAGCAACTAACAATAAGAGCATGAAAGAATGCCTTTGATCTTTGAATTTCTATTGATACTTGACTGCTAGGAGCTCTGGTAGCATAGTGCCTAAGGCACTTGACTGCTCACCAGAAGGCTGGCGGTTCAAACCCACCAGCCACTCCTCGGAAGGAAGGTTGGGCAATCCTACTTCCGTAGTGATACTGCCTCGGAAACCCAAGGAGGGGTCGCTATGAGTCGGGGCCGACTCGACGGCAAACAACAACAACAACAACATGACTGCTACACATGAATGAAGCCACTGGTCTGAGTGAGGAGTGTGCACACTACACAGTGACCCTGCAGTCACACTGCTGGCTCATTTCCCTTCCCTTTCATCCTATGTTCAGGAACCAACCAGCTGTGATGTGCTGGGCACTACAAGTACAGCAGTGAGAAGACCTTGGTCTTTCCACAAGGACCCGGGGCAAGAGGTAGCAGAGCTCTGAACAGACTTTAGTAACTCAGGGTGCAAAGGCCAGAAAAAGATAGGGGCCAAGTTCTGGGGTCCGCAGGGGTCTGGGCAGGAGGGTGGAAGAGTGGCCACACTTCAGATACTGGAGGGAGGGGTGAGGGCACCATCTTCTGGGATGCACATTTTTTTACAGCCTGACCCTGCTCACAGGACCAGTGCATGGACCTCACTTGTACTGCCCTGTCTCTGATTGTCCCCACACCCAGAGCTATTTTCGCTGTAGAGAAGAGGGAAATTCAGAGAGTCCAAGTCAATGAGGCAGGAGTACTGAGGGCTTCATTTCAACAAGCAGGGAGGGGATTGGAGCTAGGAATGAAAAACGCAACCCAGGACGAAACACACCAAGCAGCAGGCCTGGAACTGAGAAATTCTTTCAGCTTTTGTTTGCCTGAAAATATCCTAATTTCACCTTCATTTTTGAAAGATTTTTTTTCACTGGCATAGAATTCCAGGTTAGCAGTTTTTTTTTTTTTTTTTTAAGGCCCTTAAAAATGTCATAGTGCTGATCCCTAGTGTCTGTTGGAAAGTCACAGTTAATGTCACTGCTGCCCTCTTGAAATACCAATATTTTTTCTCTGGCTGCTTTTAAGATTTTCTCTTTATCTTAGATTGTCATCAATGTTACTGTGATGTGCCTAAATTTTGTGGTTTTGTTTGTGTATATCTTGCTTTTGCATCTTTGAAAAATATTTGTTTATTGGTTTTGGAATATTCTCAGTTATTTGTCAAATATTGCTTTCCCCACATTCTTTCTCTCCTTCTAAAACTCCAATTACACATAAGACCTTCTCATTTGATTTCAAACATCCTTGGAATTAATTTATTTCTTTTGGTATTTGGCCTAGATGTACTATTCTGGTCTGTCTTCCCGTTCGCTAATTCCCCCTTCAAAACAAGAATAATTCCAGTTATTCTATTTTTCAGTTTGAGAAATTTGATGTGATTAAGTTGTCAGTTCTTGGCTAAAATTCTCCATCTTTTAACCCTTTGAATCTAAAATCTGTTGCCACCATGAAGTGGATCCCCTCTGCACTATTTCTACGACGATTTTCCTTGGTTTGGGACCATGTGATATTTATCTCCTGTATGTATGTAAACATTTTGTTGGGTTTCAGATACTGTATCTAAAAACTTGTAGAGATAATTTGAGACTTTAATGATGGTATATTCCCAAGAGACAACTGATTTTTCCTTCTAGCAGGCTGGGAACCCGCAGCCCCTGTCACCCTAAGCTATTTGATGACTGAGGTGGCTTGAGCTGCCTTCAGTCCCTGTGTGGCTGGTCTGTTTCCAGTTTACTCCATGCCTGGTATGTCACCAGAACACATATCAGAAGCTTCCCTTGGCAGCTCTGAGCTCTTTTCTGTTCTGTGAGTTGTCAGCAGCTCAGTTCAGTGTTTAGGTCCTAATCTCTGCTTTTGGAACCAGCTATGACTTTTAAGAAAAAGTGCCCCCACAATTCCTCATTCCCCTGCTAGCTCCACATGCTTCCAAATAGATATATGTGCATTTTTATGTAGTATTTTTCTTTTATTTAGCAGAATGGGTTTTAATTTTTATAAAATATTCCTTCTTTCCTGGTTGTTTCTTTTCATAGCAGCCTACTAAGTTGCTTACAGTGACAAGATCTCGTCTAATCTATGTGAGGATGTTACTTTGAATGTCTTAGTTATCTGAATTATCTGTGTTGTTCCGCTGAGGAACATAAGTAACTAATGGGGGTATTATTTGCAGGTATGTGGATCTCTTTCCCCAGAAATCCTCCACCGAGGACTCAGAACTTCCAACCTGTGTAACTGGAGGGCAGCATCCCCTCATAGGACTTCCCTGTAGGCATGGTGAGGTGCAGACTGGCCAGATCACAGCCTACAGTTACACGGTTCCATTAAGCAAAATTTCTGTTCAGTGGCAACTCTTATGCATAAACCCTACATACTTCACATATCTGATACTAATGTCTTGAGAATATTCTAACATTTTGTGCTTTTTTTAAAAAATATATTCACAGCAGGTAGATATATAGTAGGACTCCTCAACTCAACATTATTGACATTTGGGGCCAGATCATTCTCTGTGGCGGTAGAAGTGTGTTCTGTACGTTGAAACATATTTAGCAAGGATCCCTGGCCTCTACTCACTAGAAGCCAGTAGCTATGCTTCCACTAGTTATGGCAACCAAAAATGTCTCCTGACATTGCCATGTCCCTTGGAAGACATAATTCTTCCAAATTGCTCCCTGTTGAGAACAACTGCTTAAATAAGAATGTGTGTGTGTGTGTGTGTGTGTAAAGAGA